TCTACTGTTCCAACAAAGTTCTTTCGGAAGTTCAATTTTTAATCTTAACAGAGCCCTGTTAAATAATATTATAGCAATATATTTCGTCATATCCTTGCATATTTATTACAGTAAAGAAGATTTATTTGTAGTTATGTAGAGAGACGCCCTCTAGTGGCAATAGTAAGCAGTAATTAGCATCGCCACATGTAAAGGTTGGTGGCCCATGAATAGTAATTTTCAACGACCTCAAGTTCTTTAAATCCTTTAAGTTACCTTGAAGTTACTGATAATTATCCACTATCATTTTCATACAGTTTCTTAAGATTTTAATCATAACAGAGCGTCTTTCTTGCTTGGTTGTTTACTAGAAAATCGACACTGACTGACTGGCTCCTGCTCCAGCCAAGTGTACGCACGTACACGCATTATGAATTTTCTTTCATGCAATTTAATAACGTAATACGTAGCTTGTTGTATATATATATATGTTTAAATTCTTCGCTGTGAACCTTACGGTACGATGGTCCCCTGTGGTTCTGTAGGTATTTTATTAGTGGTTGCAGGGTCGGACGACCCACATAACGTTTTTGTAAAATCTGACCGGCTAACCGTATAATTGTTTACGCAGCATCTATTCCGCTCGCTGCTAAATACCGTTTGAAAGTGGAAAAATAGGTATCTTCACCTGCGAACATTAACCAAAGCGTCAAACAAACCCAAAGATTTATGATATTTTGAATGTTTTTGATTGATAAAAATATCGATTTTCCTAACAGTGGACTATTTGTAACCTCTTCTAATAATCAGAATGAATAAGAACTAAAAGTTCAGATTTTAGAACTAACAACACAATAGGAATTTTTTTTAAAAACAATAAAACGAAATAATCCAAAATGAATTTTAATTAAACTTTGAAAAAATTGTTAAGTGCAAATAATATTACTAGATGCATCTAAATTTCACTGGAAAATAACTCAATATCTGACTTTTAAATCCATAAAATTTAATTTTGATTGTGATTCCAAATAAAAAAGCATGAAAATCTTGGTTTGTCAAACTTTTCTTGTGCCACATTCATATTGTGCCGTCCTCTTGTCCTTTTTATTTGAAGGTAAGGGAAAAAAATGTTTATACGAAAGCAGTATAATTTTTTCTTAACTGAACAAAAGCAAAATATACATATTATGTCAAAAGGCACAGAGTCATTAAAACAATATATTTGTGAAAAGAGGAAAAAATCTTTCTCTCGAAAGATATAACATGTTCCGAAAAAAATCACTTTGTAATTATTTTTTATGACATTACAACATATTTTTACGTAAACTAGTAAAATAATTAGTCACCCAAAAAATTTGGTCCTGGCGAGCCGCCACTGGCGCCGATATCTAGATTAAATCTAATTATAAATAAGTTACTGTTCCCGGAGGTAACAGTATAAAATAGCCCGCCTTAGAAAAGTACGTAACATAATTACAATAAATAAATATTAATCACGACGGCGAAGCCAATGTCAGCCGTATTTATGCATATTTGTTGGACTGCGCACTTGTGCATTGCATATACGCAGCATCGGAGGTAACTGTATTGCCAATTATTGTGGCTCGTTATTTTTGACCGTTTAGTGAAAGTACCAGAAACCTATATTGGTGAAGTCTATCGCTTTTCAGTTGGTAAATATTTATACGTTGCTTTATGTTGTGACGTTATCGAGGCAAGTTTCGCGAAAACGATAGATAGTTGAGTTTAAGCTAAATATTTTAAAACCCTTTTAAACACTTAATCTTTGAAAACATTGAAAAAAGATTTTTCTTTCTGTGATACAATATTTTTTTTTATAATTTTTTGTTTTTCTTCGCTAAGTTAAGATGAACCATTTTTATATCTCTTCCAAAAAGGTTATTAATAAGGGCTTCTATATAAACGTGGCATCATCTTGCTTAGTTTACGTGGCAATTCATATTTCAGATTCTACTCAAAAAACAAAACAGATATTGTCCGGGTTTCCCTACTCCTATGCCTTACTGTCAATAAAAAAGAACCCAGATTTTTAAGAAAATTAAATCCTTAGAGAAAACTTAGTTTCAAAAATAGGAAAGAAAAATAATAGTTTTTTTTACCTATTATAACATTATTTTTTACAGTAAGTATTAAAAAGTTGTAACAAAAGCAATATTCAATTTACTTTAGCAACTACCTGAAATCCGGATTATTATTTCAAGGAATGAAACGAAAATTAAAATTTAGCAACCAGTCTCTACGAAGCAGTAGAGGCAACAGTGGCGATCAGTTTCAGGAAATTGAGTATAAAAAAAACTCGTAAGATTACTTAACTTAACTTAACGAAAATGTCGACTTTTCTAAAACAATGTTTGTAATCCTGACTATCTACAGCTGTAAAATGATTCAGATCCAAAATCTTTCAAAACCGGAACATCTTCTTCAAATCTGTAGTCTTTGGCTTTCTTCAATTTTAGTCTTGTTTTGGACAACCCTCAAATTGAGTCAAACTGCTACTATTTGCTACTTTTGCTACTATTTGCTACATAAAATCGCCTCAGCTGCAAATCAACACTCTTTAAAAACTGCTTAAAATAATAAACTTCTTAATTCTTGTTAAAATAGTACAGGCCCGTCCTATTTATCTTACGAATTTGATTTGGAGGGTCCTTAGCAATGTAAAAGAAAACCAAACGGGATGGAACATGGAAATAGTAATTCTACTTGCGTCACCGCTATCGGTGGAAAATCTGATTAATTTTTAGTTAATTCTTTTAGTAAACAGACATCTCGTTAGACTGTTGAAAAATATCAGCGTGCAGTATGCGGATAAGTTTACCACCGACCTCAGTATCAAACCTAGTTCGAAGCAAGAATGGCGTACTCTCAAATGAGGTCAAGCAGCACCGTGAACGTCGGTCGTTTTGCGAGAATTTCACTTTTACGTAACTAATCATCTTTACATGCGGTAATTGTCTTTACGATTATCGCCGACAAACTTGCCTTAATGGCAAAGTACCTGTCTGTCTAAACTTGCAATAATCGCGAAATTGAGAAATTTTTATTTAGTATTAGTATTTCGGTTTATGTTATAAGCTGTACGGTTTTACTTTTCTACCGACCGTCGCTAGGAGCGGTGCTCGCTTTTACAGGAAACAGCGCACAGTCGACTAAAAATATCAACTTATTTACATTTTTATGATTAAAAAATATGGCAAAACTGGCAAAAATGTTTAATGAATATTTCTTTATTACATATGAAAATATTACACTTGAAAAATATTTATGGAAAATCTTGTTGCTCAAAAAATTCTTTCTTATGGTCAAGGTGAACATGATACGGATGTATCTTTTTTTTTTGAAAAATATTTTTCGCAGAACTCTTGCAGCAATACTTAACATTCATTTTCAAGTAAAACGATTCATCAAATTCTCAAAGGTTCCTTTAGAGGAGTGCCTTCTATCGGGAAAATGTCTTCTTGTTGCTAAATTTCCTAAATTTTCAACAAAATTATATTTTCTCAAAATATATCTTTTTCGTTTTCATTCGCGTCTATAAATGATAAGCTATTATAGGCCCTTTGTTGACTAATATATAATCTTATAAATAGATTTTTTCATTAGAGGCGGGTTTACGAAAACCTTTTTTCTTCAAGTGTTGATATTTTATCTGGAGTGCCTCAATTTTGGGTCTTCTGTTATTCATTTTAAAATATCTAAACTATTATAAAATTTAGTGTTATGCAGATAATACCCAAATATACCATAAATTTGCAATAAACATTTATTTTTATGTTTAAGTAACAAAAACAATACGGTGTCTCTCCAAGAAAATTTTAATATTACACTAAACGATACTAAGCTAATATGTATTGATTACGCCAAAAATGTAGGGGTAACACTCGACACTAATTTACGTTTTAAAGAACATCTTTAATATGTAGTTAAAAAGGCATATTCCAACTTGAGGCTAATTTAAAAGAACCGGAAAATTTTGGATCAAAAAATTAGGAAGTTATTATGTTTAACCATTGGGTCTTTCTGTATGTAAAATCTGTAAAAATATTGCTATCGTTTAATTCATGATATTAGAAAATTCAAACCTATGACTTATAAGCCAAAAGAGAACAAATGTTTATTGGGGGGCACTTTATTAAAGTCCGTACCTTTTATTAGGAACTACTGATTTTATAAAAAAAAGTGTATACAAAAGTTTTACGGTTTATTTTTCATTTTTTGTATATACAGGATTGCCGATAAGTGTTGGACCGACACTAGTTTTGAAATTTTAAAGGTAACATTCTGTAAATTTTGATATTTTTAGAATCCTTGCTAAAAATAAAGGTAACTTTTATAGAAAATACTTAAGCGAATTTTGTGTAGTTTACGCAGAAAGTGAGATTCTTTTTTTGGGAAAAATTATGTAAATAATTAGATTTAGGTTCGGGACATATGTTTACCAAATTATAGGTATTTGAATAGGTAAATGAATACTGCAAGTTCAAATTAAAAAAAAAAAAAGTCCTTTAATTTAAGACACCCTGTATAATTTTATAATACCTAGGTATCGGAGATCGTTAGAAGGAGGCCTTCTAAAAATGTGTTTAAAATTTCGTCAAGTAGTCACTACTGCCAGCCGATATTTACTAAGAACATAATTTTGCTTAAAAAAACATCTTCCTTTCTGTCTAAAATACAAAATTCGCTTAAATATTTTCTACAAAAGTTACCTTTATTTTTAGCAAGGATTCTAAAAATATCAAAATTTATAAGATGTTACGCTTACAATTTTAAAACTAATGTCGGTTCAGCACTTATCGGACACCTTGTATATAAAAATAATAAATAATTTTAAAATTTAATTTAAACCATAAAACTTTGTCTTGTAATCACCTGTCGATAGCAACAGCTCAAAGCAATTATATTTTCACAAAAATTGTACGCTATAAGTATTCTCTTACTGTTCAATAAAAGCCGCCATTTATTTATTCATTTTAATGTACTTGTCATTCTCTTTCCAGATCATGTTCCTTCACGATGCCACGCTTACTCTTCAGACAGCCTTCCAACGGCTCCCTAGCGGCCGTAGTGGAAAGATCCCACCGGCATCCTCTTCAGTCCCCTCTAGAATACGATCTGCAACTCAGAAACAACCGGCTGGATCTGATTTTGGTGTCGAAACTTCCAGAAATCGCGAGGAGCTGCGCTCCGGCAATGGATGAAGGTTTCGAGAGTGACATAGACACCGTCTCGTTGATCAGCAGCGAGAACGAGTCTTTCACTCCCAAGGCGACCCTCACGGAGACGGACAGCGCGAATGGAGGCTCCGGAACCGAAAGCGATACGGAAACGGACAAAACCAACACCCTCACCCAAAACAATGTGAGCCTAATCAAGGAAACCTTCGAGAAAATAGCCCTGACTTGCAAGACGAAGGAGTCTTACCCCCTAGTCGATTGTGTGTGCTACACAGACGTAATCCATCCCGATATCCTGATTTTCGTCATCAAGGATGAGGCTTTGGTCTTCAAGTTCGACAATTTGGCAAATCTGAAGAGCTTTTACACCAACTTCAGCACGCTGAAGGCGGTGACCAACCAAAAGGCCTACACCTTGGCCACCGGATTTAACCTGTTGCAGAGGATCGACCAGAATGGCGTGACACACATAGAAATCAAAAAGCACAACGGCAATAAGCAGTCCAGGGGCGATGAGAAATCGAAACAGAACAATTACGACGATAGCGCATTTTACGATACCCGCGTTCGATCGAGCATGCTCAACGACGTCAAATTCAACACAGTCAATAACAAAGTGGGCCAGAAGAAAATGATCCCCAGGTCCAGCTCGATCGAAAATATTTTAAGCGACAAAGAGAGCAATCTAGTCAAAGATGAGGCGGCGCTCAAGCTGAGGAAAGTGTGGAACTCCGCAGAGGATCTTTTGGGTGAGTGCTGTCCACCTTACTATAAAGCATTTTCTCTGCAAATTATGAATAGCAACTGAGATTGGTCTTAAAATGCTTAAATATTCTTGTGCCGCACATTTTGGTAAGTGTTCCAATCGATTTGGTTTTTGTTTTACATCTTTAAACAATCTATTGCATCGCAGTTTTGAGAGTGTATACTCGATTTAGTACATTCCGCGAGAGAGCCACCTTACTCCTGTATATTCAGCTTCACCGTCCTGACATAATTCACGAAATAGTGGCTGGTTTAGTGTATGTCCCTTGATAAAATTTTCAATCTTTATGATATCATGGCGATGGATCATACAGTACATATATATGAGTAATTTCAATATTTGCGTTATTATTTTTTTTTTTTACGAACCTGAAAAACCATTAATATGACCCAGCATCGTTGAAGCTCCATCCAAAGATACAAAAATACAGTTTTCCCATTTTAGACATCATTTCCAAGAGATCTTAATTCGAGAGGAGAACAAAACAGCAATTCCACTTCAAAATTATCTGCACCTTTGTAGTGAGCACATACCATTAGGTGTGAATTGCTACTAAAATCAGTTGTTTCATCAAGCTGAATAGCAAAATATTTAGCCTGTTTTAATGCGAAAATAACCTGCTCCTTCACATTTTCTGCTAATGTAGACATTCGTTCTATCACAATTTTCACCGACAAGGGCACTGAATTCAGTTTCTTGGCTTATTTTATTTTTATAGCAGCTGCTTTAGCCAAATCTTCGCCAGTAGTGTACGGTTTCTTATTTCGAATCAACCAGGCTACTTCAAAGCTAGCCTTTGATGCTGAAAGCCAGGGGTGAATGCAAATTATCCAAATTTTTCTTCAATTGACTTTTTTTGAATGATTCTGAAGTCAGTACCTTCATACTGGTTTCATTATACCAGTGTCTTATATTTGTATAAAACCGCAATTAAAGAATTCGTTTTAGCATGTTCTTCTTCTATTTGCTGCCATCTTCTAAAATACTTGAATTAAGTTTTGGTTAGATATATGAGGGCAGCGCCAAAATTTCCAGGCCTGAATATCAAAGAAACAAAGTAGAGTAACAATTTTTTATTATTTATTATTATTAATCCCCCTTAACTTCAATACACTTATTACATCTCCTTATGAACAACTCAATCCCTTTAAAAAAATATTATTTTGGTTTTTCTGCAAAATGAGCTAAAACAGCGTCTTTTAACTCAACTTCGTTGTTAAACCGCAGCCCACGTAAGTCCTTTTTCAAATATCCAAACAAATAATAGTCGCTGAGGGCTATATCTGGACTATAGGGAGGATGATCTATCTCTTGGAACCCACACTCTAAAATGGCAGCTTGTGCAACACCAGCAGTATTGACAGGTGCGTTATCGTTCAAAAGACGCACGCCTCTGGTCAGTTTCCTTCAACGTTTTACACGTATGCAGTCTCGCAAGAATTCCTTCACCATTCCAAAAGATCGTGTCCATCACCTTTTTTGTTGACTGGTAGACTCTGAATTTTCATGGAGGTGCTTCACCCTTACGACGCCACCCCATTGATTTTTTTTCGATAGAGGGTCATAATAGAGAACCATAGTTTCATCTTAGTTTCTATCACAGATTTCGGTTCCCACCCACAGAGTTCCAAAAAATACCGCGCACATTCGACACGGCGTTGCTTTTGAATAACCGAAAGGTTTTTAAATAATCGTGCAGGATTCCATGAACACTTGTATCAGAAAGCTTAGTGATTTTTGAGATTTCCATGACCTTTAAACATCGATCACTCAATACCACCTCTTCCACAATCCCAACAATATCTTCAGTTATGACCTCCACTGGCCGACCAGTTCTTGAATCATCTGCAAGGGACTCCTGCCCCATTCGAATTTGCGTTATTTGCGACATTTTTTCGGACACGTCTTGTTTAAAATGCTGTCAATAAAACACTGTTTGACACAAGACTTCATTTTTTTTTCCGCAGCCTACTAAGATATATATTGAAAAGAAGACAAAGTTTTATCGTCATACTGATGCTGCATATATGTCAGGCCGGGAAATTTTGGCACTAACCTCGTATCGATAATTCATGATAAAATAGCGGTCTTATCAGCAACTAACTAGTAGAAATTCGCGCTCTGACTCGTCAATGTATTTGTATCTTAACGGCATGGCACGGACTGAGCAGTTAGCCGACGCTGTGCGGTACTGCGCAAAGAGATAACTCGGGAACACTCTAGTGGTGGGGAGTGAGATGGCGTGGCCTACATATGTCGCTAAATTGTTTAGGTGAAACAAATATTAACAGATTTAAAAATAGCAAATTAAAAAAAAAGTTAAAAAAAATTTCATTCCATGGCATAGAACAAACCCAAACGGTAAGGTTGCATTTGAATAGGTACTCTCGAAACTCGCCAGTACTGGTTTTTCGATGTCCACCTCCGATTTTTGATTTCAGCTCCCGAAACACCAAGCCCCAGACGTCCGGAACGACGCAGAAAGAAGAAACAGGCGCCTCCGCCTCCGTCTCAACCGAAAGACGTGCCGCAAAAGGCGGAGGACGTGTATAGCGGCCAATTCGTCAGAGTGAACGTCAATTTCAACACATCTAGGGATTTGGTAGACAAAAACCGGCTCGTGGTAAAGAGCGCGTCGAACGAGTCACATCCCAAGAAACTAAGTCAAAATTTCAACATACTGGGCGGGAAAAACAACCTCGCGTCGCTGCTCAAACCGTCGCTTAAAAGTCACTCGGAAACGGTGAAGTATCCAACGGAGAACGCGACCTTCAACAGGACTCGGAGGGCGCCGCTTTACGAAAAGAACAGTTCCTGGACCAATTCGGTGCCCAGGATCCTGAAAAAGTCCTCGAGAAGCAGAAGCGAGAGCAGAAACGGCCAAGGGTTTCAACCCATGGCTTACAGATACATCGACACTACTTTGGACTGCGCGTACAACCCGGTGGTTCAGAACAACGCGGCGTTTCACGGCAGTCCGCAGCCGCGACTGGCCTACGCTTACAACGTTGCCGACTTGCCGAAAAGAGAGAACAACATAGGGAACCGTTTGTTCGGTCTGAGTCCCAAACTGAGGGATTTCGGTCGCGAGAATCTGAACAGGGGCAGCGGCCGCTGGGGTAGCGAAAGCGAATTGCATTACCCCGACCATGAGAAGAACAGCTTGAAGAGCAGCATCAAAAATAACAATAGCTGTGGCAAGAAGAAGAACGAAAAGAAAGTCACTTTTAGTGCGTATACTACGGTTCAGGTCGTGTAGAGTGTTTTAAGCCAGCTTTCTATCCTCCGCGTTGGGTCGAGACAATCTTGTTATATTTCTTGACTGTGCGGTAGAACAGCCGGTACAAATTGGTATAAATACCACGTAAGTGCGCACCACAATCCTACATAATCTAATCGAATTGCCCCAGTTCTGAATTCTTATGCTCTTTCCAGAATATCGTAGAAAAACTCCCAATTTTGCTTAGCTTTTGACTTCGAAATATGGCATATATGGAAAAATTGTGACTGCAACTATGACATTTTTTTAGGTTCCGTATTATTTCAAATTGAAACAACAACAGCAGGTAAAAATTGTGATGACCATAACACGAGTATCCTTTTAAGTGCATATCACAAGCCAATATAATCTACTATATACTATTTATAAAAGTTCTGGATTATTTATGTATTCTGCATAATATCATATAAAAGCTGTTGATATATTTCGTTTTTCCCAATTTTGCTTAGGTTTTAACATCGAAGCATAAGAAACATGAAAAAATTTTTGCTTCACCTAGGACATTTTTTAGGTTCCGTATTAGTTCAAATTGAAATAAAAACAACAGTTAAAAATTGTGATGACCATAACACGAGTAATCTTTTAAGTGCATATCACAAGTCAATATAATCTAATGCAAATAATTTCTTATCAGTTTCTCAATTTTTCTTAGGTTTGGCATCGAAGCATAGCATACATGAAAAAATTGTTGCTGTACCTATGACATTTTTTAGGTTCCGCAGTACTTCGGGTTGAAATAAAAACAGCAGGTAAAAACATTGATGAATATTACACAAGTATTCTTGTAAGTACATATCACAAAGCAATATAATCCAATCTGCCTTCAGTTCTGGAAAATGACATATAAAAAAACTACTAGAATATTTCATGTGCCTTCATTCTGCTTAGCTTCTGACATCGAAACATCGCATACATGGAAAATTGTGACTGCACCTATGACATTTTTTAAGTTCCGTATTAGTACAGAGTGAAATAAAAACAGCAAGTAAAAATTGTGATGACCATAACACAGGTATCCTTTTAAGTGCATATCACAAGTCAACATAATCTAATATAAACGATTTCTACCAGTTCTGGATTATTTACGCATTCTGCAAAATTTCATGTAAAAGCTGTTAAGATATATCGTTTTTCCCAATTTTTCTTAAGTTTTGACATCGAAGCATAGCATACATGAAAAATTGTTGTTGCACCTACAACATTTTTTAGGTTCCAAAGTAGTTTAAGTTGAAAAAAAGCAAAAAACTAATTAGTAACGACCTAACAGATATGCAATTACCAGCCAACTCAAGCAAGAAAATTGAATAAATTTGAAATATAGAGACTTTTTATAAATAAATTACGGCTACATTTTGTAACTGACATTTGACAATTAAATAACACTTTTGAAGAACCTAGAGAACTATAGAGAACCACTGAAAAGAACATACTTTCGCGGATTTTCACTGAAAATTGAAATTTGAAATATATTTTCTTTAATATGAGTTTGACGAAAAAAAAATTTTTTTTTAATAAAATACATGCAAAATCAAACATTCCTTCTTTTTAAACATTGGGCAAATCTGTGGACCTATATATATATATATATATATATATATATATATATATATATATATATATAGGTCCACAGATTTGCCATCTGTCCATGATGGCACATCTACAAGAATGGTTGAAACAGTTTCACAGTTTGTATGTAATCTTTTGTTATAATTTTTGCACAAAAATTCATCATGATCATTAAAATAATATCATAGAAAAATTTCAAAACCAACCGTTTTTAATACACACAGTACACTCACAACATAGATGCAGGGAAAAACCAAAACAGGACTATTTTAGTGGAAAAACTGATCTAAACTAATTGATGTGGTTCGATACAAAAAAAAAGATTTATTTACATTCTTTTATATTGGTGTTAGTCTTCACATTTGACGAGCCTGCTCTTGCAATGCTGCTTTAGAAAGCAATATCCAAAAGTGTATCAAAAAATGGTTTGAAATATTAAACTTATTTTATGATAAGTTCGGCCACTTGGAAAAAGCCAATGGAAGAAGTTTAAATTATGTTTTCATTTTAATTTCATTTGTTGAATTTTTGAAAATATATAGCGGCTTTGTGTAGCTTAATGTAATTAAGCTGGCAAAATTGGGAATATATAAACAAACAAAAACGCTGACTGGAATTTATTAATGGGACCTTTCTTCCCAGACGCGATACACATGTTCCGAATAATTGTCGCCTCAGGCTCAGCGTTCAGGTTTAGAAGCAGGATATCTGCTTTTTTTACTTTTACGAGCAAATTCACTTTCACAATTTCTATGATAGACAGGATATGCTCGTACGTACGTTTTTTTTTTCACTTTACGTAGACGTCTCGTCCCGAAATCACGCAGCGGCGTGCGCTGAAATTTTCGCCCGGGTCTCGAGGTTTTTCACTCGAAAAACGTTCGAGATTTTTTCTTAATTTATTCGCACCGTAATTTTATTAAATTTCATATTTTCGCCAGAGAAAATACGAATTTTTGCACCTTGAAAAATGTTCGTCTTATTTTAACACCGCACTGTATAATTACGACACTCATAAAGCTAATCTAATCTCCAAAAACGAGCGCAATTTTTTTCACGGAGCTAAAACACTCTTAGTGACATTTCGGTCCAGTTAAACTCAACTTGGATATTGGAAAAAAATTGTCGGTATTGTACCTAAAACATTGCTCAGAATATTAGATTAGTACTTAGTTAATAAATTTTTGGGTACGCGTTGGCACAGTTCGCGTACATTTTGTGAAACACGCGACATTTCACAATTACGCAGACAATTATCGACCCACTGTTAATTTTTCGTTGTGTTTAAACTATTAACAAGAAAACTGTTATGATAATTGTATATTTTGTCGTGTAATTCGTCGTGTATATATGTATAGCTATGTATAAAAATGTTGTTTTTTTTTTAACAAAAACCATGGTAATATTATACGTAAATAAAATTGTACGTAATCAATTAAGCGTGTTTGATTTTGTTGCCGCCCATCTAAAAATTTTACACCCGAACGTATCATCGTTATTAATATCCCAACGCTGCCGGCGATGTTGCATTTTTTCAGGTATGTATCGATTCCATATATTGGGTCTGTTAGACATGATGCAACTTTTTAAAATACGGGGTATTTTCTAATTGAACGTCAATAACTAATTGGCCGATTTCTAGGTCCATTTTAGAAAGAAAACGTACAAGAACAGTTTTCGGTATTGTTTTTGTTGTGAAATTGTTGAAAATTAGTAAATTGGGCCCTTTTTCCTGCCAGAAAAGCTAAGTGGAGATAATTATCGCCGGTTTTTAGAAGAGGATTTGCCAATATTGCTAGAAGAATTACCATATTTTATGCATGCAGTTGCAGTAACTGAATATTCAAATCACACATTTAATAACCGATCGGTAGGTCCCAGCGAACCTCGACCATGGCCCCCTAGGTCCCCAGATTTAAATAGTTTGGACTTTTTCGTATGGGGACGTCTTGAAAGACTGATTTATCACACCCCGTTTACACCGTAGAAGAGCTGAGGAAGAGAGCTGTAGCTGTAGCCAATTTCTATGTTCTACTACAAAAAGGTTGTTATTAATTTATCAAGAGACAATTTTTCATAACACTGTAAAAGTAAAAAAAACAGTATTCTCTTTTTTTTTCTAGAGGACATTAGTTGTTGACTAAAAACTAGATACAGTGAAAACTTCCTATAGCGAAACTCTGTATAACTCGGTAAAACTCGGTATGACGCACAAAATTTGTTGTACTATTAGGTCTTCATACAAACCTAGGTATTAATCTACTCTGTATAACGAATTTCTCACTCTATATACCGAAAGAAAAAAGGGCACGTCAGGTAACAAAATAAGGAATGTAGGCCTACTTGTAATTAATAGAGTCTCTTACCTTCTCAGAATTCCTTACAATAATAATCTAATTACCGAGAACCTGGTCGTCCTAAGTGTTTTTCTCGTAATAATTATCGGTATGTATAAAAGCACACCATTGTTTCAATCAGTTCTAATTTGACATAGTGAATACGGCAAGCATAGCGAGTAAGCGAAAAAGTTTATCTCTAACGGGGAGAAAAGAAAAGTGATGTGGGACGTCGATACCGACTTACAGCGTCGACTGTATCCACGATTTGAAAGTGCTAAGAAAAAATCATTCAGGCTTAAGCGTCACTACTTCTATTAAAAAACTCCAAAATTTGAAGATTTGGATCGTACAATGTTGCAGTGCTTAAAAATGTATCACCTTCTGGACGTATCGTAAAACTAAAAGAAGAAAAGTTTGCTGAATTGCTCGGCATTATCGGGCGTCGGAAGGATGGTTGAGGAAGTTCAAATAGATACATGCTATAAATTATGGACAGATCGGTGGCGACAGAAACGTCACTAACGATTGGCTAGAGAAGATGTAGACAAAAGCAGCAGAAAACTGGTATTTTTTACAAAATGACGCCAGATAAAACTCTTAAATTTCGAAGCGAAAAATGTGTGGGTGGAAAACTTTCTTAAGACGTATAACAGTGTTAGTAGTTGCCAATGGGAGAGAAAAAAGAAGGTGAGTCGTGATTGGAAAATCAATTAACCCACGATGTTTTAAGAACATCAAGCATTTGCCGGTCACTTACAAATCTGCATGGATGACATCCCAAATTTTTGAAGCAGAGATACGGAAATAAGATGCAGAATTAAAGGGGAGGAAAGTATTACTTCTCTTGGATAACTGCCCTGCCCTGCCCATATTCCAAATCTACGGAATATTGAATTGGCATTTTTTCCAGCCAAAACAATAAGTGTATTACAGCCGATAGACCAGAGCGTAATGCAAAGTCTTAAGAGTCGATACAGGAAAAACATTTTAATGAAAATGATCGAGTCCGAAGACAAATTTTCCATTAATATGCTAGACAGAGTCAACTTTAATTGTAAAGCTTGGAAAGAGGTGACAGCAGAAACAATTCAACACTCTTATCGTCATGCAGGACTTATTACCGAGACAAAAGGCGAACAGGACTTGGAAGATGGATAAAGCCGTTTCAAACAACAATTAGGTTTACAAGTGAGGAGTTGCAAGATTCTATGATGATAAATCTTAGCCTAAAAAAGTAGGCTTGACAGTGTAATCCATATTTCAACAAACAAGAAAGGTAGAGGAAGAGCACCAAGCGGAAGAAGAAGATGATGTTGATCTGGGACCACTACCAACCATTCAACATATATTCAGTTAAGCTGCTAGAGAAATTTTTTATGTATTACGGGGAAGATACCGCTCTCGAAGAAATGGTGTAAATACAAGCCAAAGTACGAGATGCGAATTGGCATATTAAAAAAAATCAAAAGGAAATGACCGATTATTTGAAACATTAAATGTAGTTCTTAAATATTTATATAAAATGTTCCTAAGTAGATGTTAAAATATGTTTTTTTTTCAAAGAAACTTCCACAGCCTACTGTAATGCTTTTTACAAAATTTCTGGATTCCTTCTGCGTCGGTTTTTGCTAAGCTAAGGGAATCCAGAAGTTTTGTAAAAAAGCGTTAAAATGTGTATATAAAATAATTAAATATTACAGAACACAAATGCGTATTGTTATTTTTCAAGTGCCTATAACTATTTATAACGAAAATTCTTTATAATGAAAAAAAAGCAGTCTTCAATTTCGCTATATGTATTTTGTTTCGGATAGATAGTTCATTGTTCACAAAAAAGTACCCGATTTAAACAAAATATGACTTGTTCATAGACAGTCATATTAACGAAATCGTTATGACTGTGCAGGGAAGAGGTTTCTAGTTTCTTAAGCTAAAACCGTCGAATTGAAAAAAATTGGCCTTCAATTAGAAAACACCCTGTATATACGGTTTCCCAATAAGATATTCTTTCAATATTTTTATACTTTTCATATATTAACCGCTTTAAACTCCCTGAAATCACGTTTTTCTGAAACTTGTTGAAAAAAAGGAATCAGATCAAATAACAAATCAATGTCAAATTGGCATGCAAGCAATCGATGATGTGTTTTTAATTGGGTTAAGCGAAAATTTCAAATTACAAAATTGACGACTCATTAAAAATGTCAAATAAAAGCAATAAACTTACTTTTCCGTTTTCGTATTAAAAGCTTGAGGACCCGAAATAGGTAACAAAAAGTTTTAACTACTAAAATCATTGCGCGCAATTGGATCGGGATTCCAGCGTTTGCCAGAAAATTATCACCTTAAGTTGGCGAAAACCTTGGTGTCAACGCTACTACGAATGTCAGAAGTTAGTTTTGCTAAAGGCATACGAGGCAATGTACTGAATTATATTGTGGTTCTTCGATTATCTCCGTATACCTGTCTAAAAGCTTGTATTCCAATTGAAATTTTAGAAAGTCTCGACAGGAAACATTTTAATTGAGTAATTTAAATAATTATTCACTTTTACACGCCGAACAATTTAAATAATGATATAATACAGACATGCAAAAAATGGTAGGAATTGAGATGCAATTGTACATTTTGGAATACAGTCGAAACACTATATAGC